TTTCTATTTGGGTATGTAATGGACAAAGGGGCTCCGGAGAGGCTCCTTACGGATCAGGGACGTAACTTTTCGTCTAAATTGTTGGGGGAGGTGTGTGCGGCTCTTGGAACTAAAAAGATACGGACGTCCCCCTACCACCCGCAAACGGATGGTATGGTGGAACGGTTGAATCGGACTCTGTCCGCCATGCTGTGCCATACAGTCGGGGAAAACCAATCTGATTGGGATTTGCATATCCCTGGGGTGCTTTCGGCGTATCGCATGACGCCGCACGCGGCTACTGGATACTCGCCGTTTTTCCTTATGTACGGCCGTGAGAACGTGCCGCCGATTCATGACCAGTTGGGAACCGGTGCGAGGGGGCCTGTTAAGCCTCTTCCTGAGTATATTAAGGACAACGTTCGGCGTGTCGCTGAGGCGAGGGAAAATGCCCGCATGGCTACTGCCAAGGCTCAGGCCAGGAATGAGCGGTGTGCCCGACGTTCAAAGGGGGAGTGTCCCTGGAAAAAGGGGGACCTGGCCTGGCTTCATTGCCCACAGGTGCGGCCAGGTACATCTCCTAAATTACATCGACCTTGGCAGGGTCCGGTCCGCCTCATTGAGGTTCCCAACCCACAGTCGGCGCGTGTTCAGGTTGGTGCACGGCGTTGGTTCGTGCACACGTCCCGGTTGAAGCCATACATTGCCCCACGGCCGGATGCGTCATCTCCCCAAGTTGCCTTGCCGGGGTCTGTTGCTGCCGACTCGCCCTTGCCTGTGTCTGCTGACCTTGCGAGAGCGCCTGTCGTACCCTTCACAGACAAGCCGGCCGTGACAGCGCAGGGAGGAGGACCTTCCGCTTGTGGGACGCCGACCGGAGCCGCAGAACCCACGGGACCTGCAGCTCTTCCTATCCCTCCGCGGACGCGAGTACGGGATGTTTCTGGACGCGAGCGGGACAGTGGCGGGCCTCCAATGGCGACGGAAGAACTTGCGCCCGTCGCCCCTAAAACCCTTCCACGTTCCCGCTCGGCGGGTGGGCCGCCGACCGTCCGGGACGGCCCGGCTACCCGTACTCGCTCGAAATCCCTCACGTTTCGTTAGATTGTGTTGTGTTGTGTTATTGTTATAATGTTCTTCAATGCTTCGTGTCTTTTTGCGTGTTGGCCCTTTACACCCGCATTGCTTTTCAGGTTGCAATTCAGCCGAGGTCGGCTGGATTTTCTTTAGGGGGGAGGGTGATGTAATGCGGTTGTAAACGGCCCTTCTGAGGTGCCGTCAGGGGGGGGAGGAGTTAGGTCACGTGGGGGGAGAGGGGTTGAGTATAGAAGGAGGGGAACCGGAAGAGCAGGGGGAGTGACGGGGAGCCAGGAACAGAGGAAGGCCACGTAGGGCGAAGCGGGGTGTGGCGAGATCGCCACGAACACGGGGGAAGCGAGGATCGGCACCGTAGGCCAGCGGTGACCGACCCGAAGCAGCAAGGAGGCTGCAGTCAGCAGCGGGGCTGCACAGAGAGAGTGGGCAGCGGGTCTGCATACAGTGACAGCCAGAGGGTCTGCACATAGGGGTAGCAGCAAGTCTGCAGGGAGGAGGTTACAATAGATGAAGCAGAGAGTCAGAGGGGAGAGGAAGCTATAATAGCAGTGAATAGCCGGGGGCTACAAACACAGGAGTTATAACAGAGTGCCGTGTGGGTAAAGACGTGAACCTGAATAAAGACACGAAGACAGAAAGAAGTGTTCGAGTCCTTTTATTACATATGTATTGGCAGGACACCGGTGCAGCATAACACAGCGGTCCCCATAAAATAATTTTAAATAAAAATTAGTATCGGCAAATCTGTTTATCAGTCTTTAACTGGCCCTGTCACCAAGTTTGACGCAATTCGAAGGTTTATTCAGTCTACTGAGACTTGCTAAAAAAGGTCAATATTGACTGATGATTTGGTTCCGGGGCATGCAATTTTCTTTTGGGCCGACCAAGAGGGTGAGCGCCTGAAGCAGCAGCAGCAGCGGCTTTCTTTCGTTGCTTTCTTTCCTTGCCTTATGAGCCTGAGGTGGGACTGGAGCATCATAATCTCTGTCGTCTTAAACCGCCGATGGATAGTACAGCAAGATGAGCGTTGGGATCGTGTCGTACTTCTTTTGAATGCTTTAGAGTTTGGAATCGTCCGAACAAGTCTATGACACGAGTCAAAACACGAAGTCAATCGTCATCAGGATGGGTGCTGCTATATGGCAACAGACTGCAAAGCTTCGTGTTCAGCCGCTCATAACGTTCTTCGTCCGACTGCGTCGACATCACGAGAACTGATTTTAACACACCACCCCACAAGATTGTCTCACCGGGGTTGGCGAATTGCAGGAAAATAAGTAATTGCGAAAAATGCGATTTCTATTTTTTGGGATACCGCGCACCACTGGTGTACCGCCAACACGTTCACAATGCTCGAGAGCGAGTGCTGTGGTCGGGGGCATTACCGCGAACCATGGGAGTGAGTGGTCAGTGCGACGATGTGCCAGGACAAACGGTAGGAGGTTGTTGTTGTTGACGTGGTTTGTATAGTCCAAACAAACGACCCTGCAAATGTATGCAAATTAACTTGACATGAAGGTTGAATTAAAGCTTTCGTGACTGATAATTGTTTTAATGCTGTGGGCACACAAGAAATTGATTTTTCCAAGATGAAGGTAGTCTGCAAACCCATTGGCTATCAGCAAAGATTAGTTCATGAAGCCATCCATATATATAAACACAGACACAATTTCAACCGAGAAGATGGGTACAAACTGAGCAGTCATTGGAAGGACGTTATTAACCAGGTTAAGTCATAACTGGCTGTGATGTTGAGTAGTTATTTTCGAATCTCTGGTGTTACATTAACAGGTTAAATGTCTTTACATTAACAGGTTAAATGTCTAACACAGCCACTGTTGCTCGTTTTACTTGATGTGGCGGTGGCTCCACGATCTTACATTGACATGCTCTCACAATACAATGGCCACCTCCGCAGCCTCGTTGTCGTGGAGGTAGCTCAGCTCTCCGATCTTACGTTTACATGCAAATTTCTTCACTAGCCCCGCCCACTTCGCTTATAACCCTTGGGCTACACCCATCTCAAACCTTTATAACATCCTGCCTCAGCAGCTCTCTCGCTATTTTTTTCACCTGATGACGATTGCTTGTGTTGCGATCGAAATGTCGTGATATTTGTATAACTTTTTATATCTATGTGGATTTACCAAAAGACCCAAAGAATATTGACATGAAGGTCTAATTAATTTGCATATGTACAGTGAGGGAAAAAGTATTTGATCCCCTGCTGATTTTGTACGTTTGCCCACTGACAAAGAAATGATCAGTCTATAATTTTAATGGTAGGTTTATTTGAACAGTGAGAGACAGAATAACAACAAAATCCAGAAAAGCGCATATCAAAAATGTTATAAATTAATTTGCATTTTAATGAGGGAAATAAGTATTTGACCCCTCTGCAAAATATTACTTAGTACTTGGTGGCAAAACCCTTGTTGGCAATCACAGAGGTCAGACGTTTCTTGTAGTTGGCTACCAGGTTTGCACACATCTCAGGAGGGATTTTGTCCCACTCCTCTTTGCAGATCTTCAAGTCATTATGATTTCGAGGCTGACGTTTGGCAACTCGAACCTTCAGCTCCCTCCACAGATTTTCTATGGGACTAAGGTCTGGAGACTGGCTAGGCCACTCCAGGATCTTAATGTGCTTCTTCTTGAGCCACTCCTTTGTTGCCTTGGTTGTGTGTTTTGGGTCGTCATGCTGGAATACCCATCCCCGACCCCTTTTCAATGCCCTGGCTGAGGGAAGGAGGTTCTCACCCAAGATTTGACGGTACATGGCCCCGTCCATCGTCCATTTGATGCGGTGAAGTTGTCCTGTCCCCTTAGAAGAAAAACACCCCCAAAGCATAATGTTTCCACCTCCATGTTTGACGGTGGGGATGATGTTCTTGGGGTCCTAGGCAGCATTCCTCCTCCTCCAAACACGGCGAGTTGAGTTGATGCCAAAGAGCTCCATTTTGGTCTCATCTGACCACAACACTTTCACCCAGTTGTCCTCTGAATCATTCAGATGTTCATTGGCAAACTTCAGACGGCCATGTATATGTGCTTTCTTGAGCAGGGGGACCTTGCGGGCGCTGCAGGATTTCAGTCCTTCACGGCGTAGTGTGTTACCAACTGTTTTCTTGGTGACTATAGTCCCAGCTGCCTTGAGATCATTGACAAGATCCTCCCGTGTAGTTCTGGGCTGATTCCTCACCGTTCTCATGATCATTGCAACTCCACGAGGTGAGATCTTGCATGGAGCCTCAGGCCGAGGGAGATTGACAGTTCTTTTGTGTTTCTTCCATTTGCGAATAATCACACCAGCTGTTGTCACCTTCTCACCAAGCTGCTTGGCGATGGTCTTGTAGCCCATTCCAGCCTTGTGTAGGTCTACAACCTTGTCCGTGACATCCTTGGAGAGCTCTTTGGTCTTGGCCATGGTGGAAAGTTTGTAATCTGATTGATTAATTGCTTCTGTGAACAAGTGTCTTTTATACAGGTAACAAGCTGAGATTAGAAGCACTCCCTTTAAGAGTGTGCTCCTAATCTCAGCTCGTTACCTGTATAAAAAACACCTGGGAGCCAGAAATCTTTCTGATTGAGAGGGGGTCAAATACTTATTTCCCTCATTAAAATGCAAATCAATTTATAACATTTTTGACATGCGTTTTTCTGGATTGTGTTGTTGTTATTCTGTCTCTCACTGTTCAAATAAACCTACCATTAAAATTATAGACTGATAATTTCCTCGTCAGTGGGCAAACGTACAAAATCAGCAGGGGATCAAATACTTTTTTTCCTCACTGTAGGTGAAGATGAAGATATATTAGGGGACTTGAACAGAAATGCAGTGGTGTTTAATGTACAATCAATGCCTTTAAAGTGTCCGCGGGTCAAAATGTCAGTAGAAATGTAAAACGACATAAATACGCACGTACCTTTTCAATCGTGACATTCTGCAAGGTTGTGTTGTCGACTGTGACATTTGTTGTCACGGAAATATAATTGTAGACGGTAGCATACTGCAGAGAAAATCAGACACAACACTGTTCACATTGAATATTTATAGATTAGTTGTCTTTGTTTCAAATGTCACGTTTGCTTTGTGTAGCCAGGTGAGAACTCAAGGCTTGGGTCACAAATATGATGAACCAAAATAAATAACGTTACAGCACTGAAGCACAAACAGGAATGAATGTTAAATTATACATTCACTGTAGTGTAAATATAATCTCCGTGACCACCATTATCCATAAAAGAAGGGGTTTTTTTTGGTTATATCGCGTATATATAAATGTGTCGTTAAACCCGCCACCACCACCCGACACAGCCAATTGGAATCTGTAAGGTTTGTCATGAAAATAAAACATGCGAATTTGTTACTACGTCAAAACACCGGTGTGTTGGAGAGTGGGTTTACGCTCCATGTTAGTAAGGTTTGTCATGTAAACAAAACATGGAAAGTAAACCCCCTCTCCAACACACCAGTGTGTTGAAGTAGTAACGAAATTTCGATTTAAAGCTTTCGTGACTGCAGGGATTCATCTTCTTGGTTCTTTCGGTAAAGTCACGTAGAAGGGAAATAATAAAATAATAAAACATAATACAATACAATTCTCACGACGTTTCGGCCACAACGCAAGCAGCCGTCCTCAGGTGAAGAACAGGTCTGTCGGAAAGACAGCATCTGAATGAGACGCTGTCTTGAAGAACAGGTCTGTCGGAAAGACAGCATCTGAATGAGATGCTGTCTTTCTGACAGACCTGTTCTTCACCTGAGGACGGCTGCTTGCGTTGTGGCCGAAACGTCGTGAGAATTGTATTTTATTATGTTAAATTTTTATTATTTTATTATTTCCCTTCTACGTGACTTTACCGAAAGAACCAAGAAGATAGTAACAAAATGGCATGTTTTATTTACGTGACAAACCTTACTAATTGCCTGTGTCACGTGGTGGCGGTTTTAACGACACATTTATATTTATGCGATCTCACCCAAAAAAACCTCTATTATGGAGATTACATTTAGACTGGGTCTAATACAATGACAAACTTAATTTACAGAAACATTAAACAGATATAAGGTGGCTAGAGTATTGTACTAATATCTAAACAGACGAGGATTCATGTAAAATACAACTGTAATTGCAGGGAAGTTATCGTGGAAGTTTTTAGGCAGAATATCACATGAGAACTAACAAACACAATAATCACAATGATATTTAAATGCAACTCTACCTGGTGAATATGGCAGCGAGAGGTTTACCCATGATGCACTGTGAGCCTAAATATTACACAATAATACACCTGTAATGGGTTCCGGAGACACTTGTAGATGTAACTTCTTTATTACAATACAACACTCCAACAGTCCTGATACTCTGTTACAGCCTAGGTACACAGCCTAGCTACACAGCCTAGATACTCTACTCTGGCTACGCTCTGGACTCGCCCTCACAAGGTTGTAGCGTCGGGAGTTCCAGAGTCCCAGCGCTGGCTCTCACAGCATCCCAGGGTCTTCAGATGGCTGGTCGTGGGTCTTGGGTCTTGAGTTACAACTGGGCCGATCGTCCAGGGAGCTCTCCTTTTATGCCTGGTCCGACGAGGGGTGGGTCTTGTGCGCCACCAGACATCCCACAGAGCACACACAGCCCCCCCCCCCGTTGGCGGCGCCAAAAAGGCTTAAGCGCCTGGGAACCCAACGCCTGGCGCCCAAAGGCTTAAAAGCGTCTGGATCCCCTGGGAACCCAGTGCCTGGCGCCCAGAGGCTTACGCGTCTGGACCCACCTGGGAACCCAGAGCCTACAGCAGCCCCTCCCTTCTTATGTCACTACATTACCCCCCTCTACGTAGCCTCCAGCCGACCCGGCTGTCAAAAAAAATACAATTGTACAAGAAATTATTTGTTAACCATCAGAATGAGTGTGTGACAATCAAGAAAAAAAAATGAGAAGAAAGCGCCTCTCCCCCTCCTGTGGTCACCGATGCAGAACAACACTGTATAAACACATATATGCAGGATGAACGCACGCCCCAATCGCCCACTATACATGATGGCAAAGTGAGTGGCGTCGCGTTGGGACGAGAGTTCGTGGGCGGGGGTCATGAAAATCGTTTGAGTTTTGAGCGAGTCCGAGTGGCAGGTCCATCGGTCGCGACGGAGGCGGGAGGGGACCGACGACCCGCTGTTGCGCTTGTGTCCTGGGTCGCTGATCCCGTGGGCAAGCTTGTTCCCGCTTGGTCGGCCGTGGCGGATTTCATTCCCAAGGCACCTGAGGGCGGGTCAGCGGGACCTGCCCGAGAGTTAGAAGCAGCATCATCGCGGCGCGGCTCGTCAGACATGTCGCGCTCTCGGCCCCGGAGAAGTGAAGGAGGTGTGTAGGGTTGAATGTAAGGTTTTAGACGTGACGGGTGCACGAACCAACGTCGCTTGCCATGCTGGATCCTGACACACTGCGGGCGGAGAACGCGAATAATAACAACCGGGCCTCTCCAAGGCTTAAGCAGTTTTGAGGAAGTAGCCAATGGTACCTGCGGGCAGTGGAGCCAGGCGCGGTCCCCTTCCACCCAAACGTGGTGGGATGTGCGGAGATTCCGCAACCGCTCGTTGGCAAGCTGACGGGCTTCTGAGTTATTTTGAGCAGCCTCCCGGGCATCCATGAGACGACGCACATTAGCACGGATGTGGTCGGCAATCTTAGCCTTAGGTGCGGGCTGTTTAATGTGCAATTGTACGTCGATTGGGGGGCAAACCTCCCTACCATACATAAGATAGAATGGCGAGTACCCGGTGGCAGCATGGGGCGCCATTCTATAGGCGGCCAAGACACCAGGTATGTGGAGATCCCAATCAGTCTGTGACTCAGACACCTGGTGGCTTAGCATGGAGGTAAGTGTCCTATGTAATCGCTCGACCATACCGTCAGTCTGGGGGTGATATGGCGAGGTGCGAATTTTGTGTGTCCCTAGCAGGTTGCACACATCCCGCAACAGCGTGGAAGAGAAATTTTTCCCTTGGTCGGTCAGCAGGCGTTCGGGAGCACCCTTGTCCAGGACGTAGCCCTGGAAAAAGGCCTCCGTAATGGCTGCTGCAGACTGGTTGGGGAGTGGCCAGGCCATGGCCCATCGGGTAAAATATTCGACCCCAACCAAAAGGTACTTACTACCCCGAGGAGTAGCGGGAAACGGACCCAAAATATCCAATGCGACGATCTCATTGACCCGGGAAACTTTAATGGATTGGAGCGGCGGGCAGGACGGCCTAGCAGGTGGTTTCCGCCGTGCACATTCTGTGCAACCTTGCACAAGGTCAGCCACATCGTTTGCCATGCCCGGCCAGAAAAATTCCAATTGGATTTTAGCTAGTGTTTTCTGAACACCCAAGTGCAAGAGGCGACTGTGGGTTTCCCACACAAGTCGCCCCCGCAGGGAGGTGGGCACCACCAATGTGTGGGATTGGGACCCCCCATCCCAATGCATGAGAACGCCTTCCCGGATGACATATGATACGGGGCCCCCCTGCCCCCTGTGACCCTCGGCATCCCTAGCGCGGCGTCTCAATTTGAGGAGGGAGACGTCTTCCATCTGAAGACGTCCCCAGTCGTACAACCCGAGGCCCAGCAATGCGTCCTGCGGAACTTGCGTGGAGGGAGCCCCGTGGTCCCCGACCCCATCCCCGGCCGCGGCCGCAAGGGATGGGGGCGGTACCCCGTCAGGCTGCCTACAACGCCCCGCACCCAAAAAACAAGCACAGCGCCCATTGTTCGGCAGCCGCGACAACCCGTCGGCGTTCCCGTGTTGAATCCCCTTGCGGTAAATGACAGTGAACGCAAAGTCCTGGAGGATCTCGAGCCAACGCGAGAGCTGTCCAGATGGTTGGTCCACTCGCAAGGCGTATTGTAGCGCCGCATGGTCGGAGCGTACTGTGAAATGCCTGCCATACACGTATGGCCTGTACTGCTTTATGAAAAAAACGATAGCAAGCAATTCGCGGCGCGTCACGCAGTAACGTTGCTCCGCGGGCGACAGCACCCTGCTGCCATAGGCGACGACGCGCTCCACTCCATTGACAATTTGCGACAGCACCCCTCCAATTCCGGTGTTGCTGGCGTCTGTATCCAGAATGAACGGAGTGGTAAAATCTGGATAAGACAGGGTAGGAGCATCGACCAGTGCTTTTCGGACGGCATTGAAAGATGCCTGTTCTAACTCTCCCCAGCGGAATTTGACCCCTTTGGCCGTCAATGCGTGGAGGGGCTTCGCGATGGATGCGAATCCCGCAACAAATCGTCGATAATATGAGGCGAAGCCGATAAAACTCCGCACCTCCCCAACAGAGGTAGGAGTTGGCCATGAGCGCACACAATTTGTCTTTTCGGGGTCCGTGGCAATTCCCGAGCGGCTGACAATATGGCCCAAATAACGAACCGAATCCCTCATGAGGTGGCACTTTTGCGGTTTGAATTTGAGGTTAGCCGTTCGCATTTTAAGGAAAACTGCCTTCAATCGCGTGAGGTGTTCATCAAAAGTTTTGCTGAACACGATTACATCGTCGAGGTAGATTAGGCAAGAATCCCACTGAAGCCCAGCGAGGACCAGCTCCATCAGGCGCTGGAACGTCGCCGGGGCCGAGTGAAGACCCATGGGAAGTCTGTTGAATTGGAACAGTCCCTGCGGCGTGCGAAAGGCCGTCTTTGGTTTGGATGCGTCATCAAGGGGTAGCTGCCAAAACCCCGAGAGGAGATCCAAGGTGGAGAAGTAATGCGCACCTGCTAAGGCATCGAGCGACTCGTCCATCCTGGGAAGCGGGTAGGCGTCGGCCACAGAAATCTTATTAAGTTTCCTGAAGTCAACACAAAAGCGGAGGCTCCCGTCGTGCTTCTTAACAAGAACGATCGGCGCCCCCCATGGGCTATTTGATGGCGCAATGACATCGGCCGCCAACATATCGTTGACGGCCACCCGTACATGTTCTTTTTCGGCCGGGCTCAACCGGAATGGGTTTTGACGAATTGGAGCGGCATCACCCGTGTCGATGTGGTGGCTTAGCAATTTAGTGCAGCCAATGTCGAATTTGCTTTGACTGAAAACGTCGGCGAAATCGCTCAGCAGCGTGCGTAATTTAGCATGCTGTAATGGTGACAAATCGGCAGAAGTGGAGCAAAGCGCGTCGAGCCATCCTGTGTCAGGACCTGGCTTGGCAACGGAAGAGAACTCGCCCCCTACGTGACCCATGATCACATCTTCTGGCGGGGCTGGCGTCGCGTGAGCAAGCACCATTCCCTGACAGATAACGGCCGTTTCCAATCCCGCGTTAAGGACCTGGATAAAGGGGTCGTGGTCGCTTCGCACGAGCGTTTGTGCACACACGAGGTCCGGCACCCGCTCAGCTGAACGCGAAGGCCCGATCACAGCACCCCCCATGAACGCGTCGTAATCAAGGGGTTTACGAAACCGGAGGGGAACTAACATCTGAGAGCCAGGAGGAATGTGAATTGTGCACGCCGCCAACGCCTGCACCGTCATAGATGCGGAGTGCAACCGAGTGGGTGTGGGTAGGAAGGCCATGCGTCGGCCGGAGGGGAGCTCAATACACCCTTTGTTAATGAGAATTTTAATGGGCATCTTCCCCAAGAAATCTGTTCCGAGGAGGCACGGAACGGCGAGGGTTGATGAGACCAAAATGGGCCCAACTAATTGGACGTCAGCAATGCGGATCTGAGCATTGATCCGTCCGGTGATGCCCAACGAACCCCCATTTGCGGCATAGCATGGCACATCAACTGGCTGCAAGGGACGGCATGTATCGGGCAAAATGTTATAAATTATGTCTGAAATGATGGTCGCCGACGCACCCGTATCGATCAACATACGAACATCAACGCCCTCGATGGAACCCACTACGGCAGAGGACCCTGCCGCAGCGGCAACGACCCTATGGGCCAACTCGGACCATTGACCCGGTCCGAGCGCCCGGTTGTTCAATGATGGGCCCGAATCCCCCTCCTCCGAAGCATGACCCCCCTGTGTGGTGTGAGGGTGCGTGCTTGTTGTAAGTGGGGGCCGAGAGTGCGAGGTGTCGTGACTCGCCTGGGTATGCCGAGGATAAGGTGGTGGCCGAGGCGCCGGAGGTCCTGAAGTCCGGCGTCGGGGGACCCGGCAGCCGGACGCCACATGGCCCCGAAGGCCACAGTTGTGGCAGACGATGGACGCTCCGTCCTGGCGCGAAGGTTGGCCGGTCCCGCTGGTGGTGATCTCGCTGGGATCGCCAGTTGGACGATCCGCGATTTTCTGTTGCTGCGAAGGCCTGATGAGGCCCCGAATGCACGTCATAGGCTTGTGCATCAGGTGGGCCTGCGCAGGCGGCGATGGTCGTGTCCTCATCGCAATGTAGGTGTGCTTGGATGCACCTGGCAGCACGTAGCGACGTGAAGTCGTCGTCGTCGTCGGCTGTCGGCATGGCAACTCGAAGCTGGCGGGCCAAGCTCATGAGCTTCTGCAGCACGAGTGACTCCACAGCGTCTTCATCCATGCGAGGGTAGGCAACCTTCGCCATGGCCAGCAGCGCGCTGCGGTACCCCATCGCCGACTCGGAGGCCTTCTTCCTCCTCGCATCGAAGCGGTGACGTGCTTCGGATGGGGGTCCATAAATCAGCCGCATCTGATGAAGGGCATCCGTGAGCGTGGCACGTTTCGCGCGTGGCACAGCAAGGAGTGCTGCGAGGGAGTCGTCGTCGAGCATGGCCGGGAGGCCCTGGAGCGCTTCATACTCCGACCAGCCGGACGTCTCTATAAGAGAGACGAACCGGCGTTCGAACGCTGCCCACTCACCCCCCTCTGAAGAAAATGCCTTGAGTGCTGGCAGGCGTTGTTGGACGTGAGCCAAGCTTCCGTTGCCTGGCAACCCGGCTGAAGCTGGCTGCGCGTTCGCAGCGCTCTCACTCGGCGGTTGCAAACAGCTGTCACCCGGCGGTGAGGGACGCCGCGCTGATGACGCGGCGTCATCGGGATGGCCCACGCTGGGCCCGGAAGTGACGTCGCTCCCAGCGGCCACTGCTCCCCCCGCAGAAGTGACGACACACCCGGATGTGTTTGTGTTGGAGCCGGCGGGATGGCGCGGTCGCTGCGCCGCCTCTCTCCCTCCTGCCTCCGCCTGTGAGCGACGCATGTCGTCCAGGATGGAGACGGTGGCGTGGAGCAGCTCGGTGAGGCGAAGCAGCGTTTCCTCCATTGCTGCTCCCGACGCTGGAGGAGGATCGGCAGGTGTGGTGGACGCCTGCTCAGCCGGTGGTGCGGCGTTGTTGTCGGCCCGAGTTGGCTGCCCCGTCGCCGCTTGCTCCTCAACATCGCCGTCAGGACTGAAGGTACGTGGCTTACTTCTTGTCTCCATTGCCACCTCTGACGCCAAATGTAATGGGTTCCGGAGACACTTGTAGATGTAACTTCTTTATTACAATACAACACTCCAACAGTCCTGATACTCTGTTACAGCCTAGGTACACAGCCTAGCTACACAGCCTAGATACTCTACTCTGGCTACGCTCTGGACTCGCCCTCACAAGGTCGTAGCGTCGGGAGTTCCAGAGTCCCAGCGCTGGCTCTCACAGCATCCCAGGGTCTTCAGATGGCTGGTCGTGGGTCTTGGGTCTTGAGTTACAACTGGGCCGATCGTCCAGGGAGCTCTCCTTTTATGCCTGGTCCGACGAGGGGTGGGTCTTGTGCGCCACCAGACATCCCACAGAGCACACACAGCCCCCCCCCCGTTGGCGGCGCCAAAAAGGCTTAAGCGCCTGGGAACCCAACGCCTGGCGCCCAAAGGCTTAAAAGCGTCTGGATCCCCTGGGAACCCAGTGCCTGGCGCCCAGAGGCTTACGCGTCTGGACCCACCTGGGAACCCAGAGCCTACAGCAGCCCCTCCCTTCTTATGTCACTACACACCCAACCATGGCAGGGGCCATGAGCAGGGACCTTTGCCAAATGATTGTGGTTTGGAGCTGGTCAACTAATGGACTAGGTTAGAATACAAGCACGGGCATTATATGCCATTACATTTTTTGTTATCTTTCTGAATTGTGTATTAAAAGACAAACGTGTATAGCAAGCAACTGCAATATAAACAATATAAGTAACTCACCGATTGAAAAGCAGCAGCCACAAGATTGGCAGGGAAGAGGTTTCTGGGGAAGACAATGTTAAAAGGTTAGTGACATAGACTACCCACTATCAAGTTCCTGTACACTCACCACCCCCTTCTTAAAATTAGCATTTACAATTTATTATCGTTCACCTGTCTCGTAATACATCATAATCAGCCATGTTCTATCCACTGTTGGATGACGGCCTCACTACATCATCGTAATTTCCCATGAACCTGAGATGCCAGAAGAGCTAGCCTCATCGCACGGAACATACATTTACTTGGTGAGATATTATTTTATCGCTATAAAGATCCGAATAGAATTCCTCCACTTTTTATGATTCTGTCTCAATTCATGCAGGATGGTTGATATGTTTCTAAGTACTACAATTTGTGAATTGAGAATAGGTTTTTCTCCTTTTTTCTGGAAACAAAAAAACACCTTTTACAAGGAATCATGTCTGCATTAACCACAATACTTGTGGTCAAAATGCAAACCAAAAACATACTTTGATAATATATGCATTTTCTTTGAAATTGATTGGTCCACACCAGAGACAGCTTTCTTTTGAGCCTAGTCTTAAAACGGTGTTAGACCAGAAGAGTATGTTTTTTGTTTGCATTCTGACCACAAGTGTTGTGGTTAATGCAGACATGATTCCTTGTAAAAGGTTTCAGTTTGGTGTTTTAACATCTTAACACCTGTTTTGTTGCCAGAAAAAAATGGGAAAACCTATTGTCATCTATTTTTCTTCTTCCCTTTCAGATGACATTTAAAAATGGAAAGAAAGTTAACTGACGACAAACGAGTTAAATTCGTTTTTATGTATGCTAAATAAGGCAGCTGTAATCTAAAAAACAACCTCAATTAAATTAAAGATAATTCATGCGTTTGGAAGTTAGCTCTGGACATTTATTAAAATATTTTAAATAACCCTTTGTAATTTGTTCAAATAAATATAATAACCCCATGTGTCCTGACTTTTGGGCCACCCTATGTCATTGGAGAAGCGTTCTCATGGGCAAAAAATAGGCCCCAAGATGTAATAAAATCACACTTAAGAATGCAACAAACCTTTTTTAAGCACCAGTTTTATGGAATATCGATGTTTTTTTAAATAATATAATAATATTCCAAATTAGTCCTGAAATAAAACTTACTGTACGGCACTTACACCCAAAACAATTTTGGATGACGGTCTCTTTTTGAACTTGTGCTATCAATCGCATTCCATCGCCTCGTTGCAGACATCTTGACTGACTGACCGACCAACTGAAGTAATAAATGTAAAAAAGGGTGAAATCCCCACAGTACAGAACTAGGCGTGAGCAACGCAATGGGGCCCGAACCAACGGGACCCGAACCAACGGGACCCGAACCGACAGGACCCCAACCAACGAGACCCCAAGCAAAAGCAGATGAGCGTGGACAGCATGGCGAGCCGGAGAGGCCGGTTTCTGTGACGGGGGGTGAAGCGCAAATCACCCAGAGCAGCACGCCAGCACGCCATGCACGTGAGGACAAACGAAATTGTTAAATCCCCCCTCTCCCACCTAATTAAAAAAAATATTTTTTTATAGATTAAAAATCCATAAATGCGAAATCAACGTAAACTATATATTAAACTATATCTTATTCGGAGAGCATATTTTTTATCCCAACTCTTACACAGAGAGAATGTTTTTTGTTTTCTTCTTACGGTCGTACAGCAAGAAGCACATGAAGAGAGTAGACATTCGCTTACGGTGGCAGCGATTGTTTTCTCCCCCCCCCCTCACCACCACCTCGTTAGTTTTTTCATTGTTGTACATTTTATAGAAAGCGACCCATCGGAACCAAGGCTGGGTTCCGCGCCAGCGCTCCGCCCTCGTTACCGCTGGCCGCTCCCCGCAGTGTCGACGTGACAGCTCCTTCCAAGCCTGCAACTCAATTTCTGGAGACCCGCTCGGCCTGGCCTCATTGGCAAAAATAAAATGTCATGTTTTCCTTTCTTATGCTACACACTATTATACTCACTGTAAATGTGAGTGTAATGCAGCAGGGGAGGTTCTGTCTCACGTACGCTTATTTAGCCCTTGCTCGACAAGGATGCCGTCAGTCTGCCTTGGAACATTTTTCCTCCGCAATGCTGCTGCGTTTTCATCGTCACTTCAGCATGATGTGAACTATTTTTGCAACACACTTTCATTTTTATGTTATTGGGGGTGGCAGACGTTTGCGTGTGTGACGTCGAGTCAAACAGCTCGAAACCCACGTCATCTTCGGATTCATCAGACACCTCTTTTTTTTCTTCCTTTTTCACTTCAGCAGCAGTGGCTGGAGCCCCAATAGTACCTAGCACGGCTGGAACCACCAGCCACGCCGACAGACACAGCCACACCCCCCAGGCGCGGACGAGACGTTGGCTAAGCCAGCAGAGATTGCTTCTTTTGCATTCCTGCCCTTCGCCTCGCTGACGACCTTCTCGCTGAGCTTGGGGTCATCCCGCCTCAATGCCAACAACCGATTGGGATCCTTATTGCTGTCACTGGCATTGGGCTGCTTCGTTGCCATCACAGTGTGGCGATGGATGGGTTAGCGGCCACCCAATGCATGATGACGATTGCTTGTGTTGCAATTGAAACGTCGTAGTTTTTTGTTATTTTCTTTTAACCTATCTACGTGACTTTACCGAAAGACCCAAGAATATGCTCCTAAATCCCCAAAAAACTAAAATCATGCTCTTTTCCTCAAACAAAAATCCAGTTTCATTCTCGTCACCTGTTACGAAAATCAGAAACAACATGATTGAACAATCGGAGTGCTTCAAATACTTGGGTTTACTGATTGGTTCGAAACATATTCAAACTATATATTAATCACATTTCAAAGATAATCAATAAAAAATTGAGTTTGTATACAGAAACAAATTTTTTTTTCCCATTCGACTGCACCTGGAAATTGTTGAAGCTACCATTCTACAACATTGACGATGTGACGCTGCTTGCAGATCAGCTACTAATAAAACACTAAATAGACTAAACCCACTTTATTATTCTGCTCTTCGATTTACATGATATGTACCATACAGTAGAGGTCACCATTGTCACCATTGTGACCTCTCCTTGTAATCCAACCTCACATCACCTGATGCAAGAATACATCTACATTGGGCCCTGTTTATCCATACAATCCTTAACTGGCAAATCTGCATTATACTTAGCTCATTCATTAACCCCATTGTCAAACACCAAGAAACCTAAAACGTCCATCTAATTGCCTTTTAACTCTCCCTAGAACAAGAACCGTAATCGGTGACAAAGCCTTTGCCGTTGCAGCACCACCGACGTTTTGAAACAACAACCTTGTTTCCTCTCTTTACATCGTAAATCTTCCTTAAAAAAATATCCTGAGGCAAAAGATTGGTGCTGAACGCAATCACATTTGCACATGCGATTTCTAACCTTGATTCTTACCCCTGTATCGATAGTTCAATGTTAAGGTAAAATTTGATTGAGGAATGACTGCTGTTGTCTTGGTGTGTGGTCTGGGACTGTTTTTGCTGGCGCTTTGCTGCTTGCTCATATACTTATTTCTTTTTGTGACTTTACCTTTTCTCTATTTTGCACTTCTAATTATTTTTTCATTGTTTGTTGTAACCCGCTGACCCGCCCCTACTGCACATCTGTGAAAAAGAGCTTCATAGCTCATCGGATTCCTCCTGCAGTCTAAATAATAAGTCTGGTTCTGCAATCCACGAAGGTGATTTCAATAACCACTTCACCCTCGTGAGGGTGCAAACAAAATCATTCAGCAGGAGAGTAGCTGACATTGTGGGCATCAGCCGAAGACCAACATCTGCTGAACAATGTCAAATAGCCCGGGAGGTTGAGGACACCCCAATGGAGGTGACACACCCCAGGTCTCTCCTTCGTATCGCAGGGTATGCACGGCCTCCCATTGACATCTTTGAGGTGAGTCCAAGACAGATGTTTTTGTCAAAGAACCAGCATCGCCCCGTTGCGGTCCCACCAATACCTCGACCCTTTTGTCATCTGAACAGAGCCCTGCCACCCAGTGGCACGATGACGTGGGAAAACAGCAGTGTACCAGACAAGAATCTGACTGAAGAGCAGGCGAAGTGGCAGCCTGGTTTATCTCCACTACCCTGACGGGCGTCGATCACTGTCAACCGTGTCCGAACAACAAATAGAAGACCGAGGACTCGCCAAACGGTGAATGCGCACCGCTGATGGCTGCCCAACGCAACGCGCGCATACTCTGGTGGGACAAGCAAAATACGCTCAGCTACCCCGGATGCTGTCGTGAAATGGCTTACAAAATAAAATATATAGACAATTATACATAAGAGGTTTTTTTGGGTTAGATCGCGTAAATATATAAATGTGTCGTTAAACCCGCCACTACCCGACACAGCCAATTAGTAAGGTTTGTCACGTAAACAGAACATAGCCAATTCGTCACTAGTACAGCACACCGGTGTGTTGGAGAGCCAAACCACAACGCTTACAATCTGAGTACGACGTTTTGCCAGTAATTACAACTAGCTTCATAAGGCGACAGCCAGATTTGTAAGTCCTCCTGTTTCGTTCCTTAAGCCTACGTGTTAAATTATTCAAATATAGCCTGTTGCTTTTTGCAAACTCCATATGGAAGAAGAGGTGCACTGTCCAATTAAAATGCTAGAAATCTTAAAATTTTTAAGTGGTAACATCAATTTCATAATTTTGCTTCTCAAGAGTTTTGAAGTTGTTATCTTCATATATCTACGAATCCAAGCCTTTGCCTACCCACGTTTCCCCTACAGTACAAACCCTGTGTTAAGGGACACACACCTCGAGTTACGTGACACATGTACCACAACATCGTTGATGTTAGTCAAGGTTGGGAGGCAAGCGTAGGTTTATTGGTTAACAGCAAAATGCTCCCTTGGGCAGATGCAGTGAGCGGATTAATGGTATATTCAATCGTGCTTTTTGGCATTTTAAAATCCGAATAACTGAATTTGTTCCAGAAATAATCAACGTACCCACCATCGAAGCAGCTAGCATTATTTCTAGAAATCATGCCCACCGCTGTTGCAAGAAAGCAATCCTCCATTTTCACGGAATCTTAACAACGTTGTCAGACGCAACGGGACCTCCGCTGCCCTGATGTTATAATTCGCACGAGGCTGGGGGATGCTGCTCGGCATGGGCAGAGCGATGCATTTAGAATGTCAACGTGTCCTGTTCACAATGTAAACGATGTTCACCGAGGCATTTGTGTGTGCTTGGGAGACATGCGACAGGTGCGATGTTTAAACAAATAACGCGGAGACGTTCAATATAGAACCGTTAATATCTAGCACGAGATTAATCTAGAAATTCTGAGTTTATATGCCAGAATTCAAGTCCCGCTTCCAATCGTGTTTGAATGATACAAATGCAGATAAAAAATGACAGGCGGAACTGTTATTTAGATGATAAGATATTGTATTGACAATATCACGTTCTTCAGCGTGATAACCATTGCGCACAACTGCAGCCTCCATAGAGCAGAGATACGCATCTAAAAACTGACATCTGGAATAAATAATAACGTATTAAAATATATGTAGTGTATCAGGGAGCAAAGCGCTGTGGATAACGGATTAAGTGGTCAAACATCCAATGTTGTCGCTGACAATAATTGGTTGTTTATTGACGTTTAAACGAAAGGCAATTAGTTTATCATTGAGAGGCACGGGCAGTAACCGTGTTCGCCTCTTCTGTGTGGTTGTTATTAGCGCAAACCTGGGGGGGGGGGGGTCCTCATTCACCGCTCTGGCGGTGCCACCCAGGGAGAGAAGAGACGCGCATCTGGGAGCTGCGTGGAGAGAGCTGCCCAGCCGGGCACGCGGTTAGCTCCCTGATGTTGCTGCTGCTGCTACTACTGTCATCTCCTTAGTTTGTAAAATATTTGTAACTAACAGAGAGGGTATACACATCTGACAATACACCAGCATTGGTTCATGCAAGCCTGATTGTCAAGCTGACGATGCACTGAATGTCGAAACCGGTTCAGAGTTTGCTTGTGTGGAACCATGCTAAAATTATGAACTCCCAGAAGGGCGTGTGGCTGATGACATGTTTGTATTTTGTGTGGAGGGTCAGATTTGTGAAGGAGTATAACTGTCTGCTTATGTATGTTGTCACATTGTTGGCGTATACACTATTTAAAAAAGGACGCGTTTTTATGATCTAGTTAGGAAATTAAATATCGTCAAAAGAGCGTGTCCATGCTGGAGTGAATGAGTCGATGTGGTCTGCGTGTTCTCGTGTTTACTGAGACACCCACTGACCAGCGTGCCCTGGGCAATGTGTGAACGGCACGCACCTGGTCAAGTCCAGGAACGAGTCCACGGCCTCCCGCGCAGGAGGCATTGGGCTGCCGCTGTCGCCCAGGTTGGGTTTCGCGTCCGAGCCGCCAGCCCCGGGCTTGATCAACAGGGCGAGGGCCACGCCAATGGCCGAGGCAATGAGCGTGGTGACGAGGAAGTAGAGGATGGCGCGACCCCCGAGGCGGCCGAGGGTGCGCGTGTCCAGGCTGGCCGCGCCCGACACCAAGCTGCACACCACCAGCGGTATGATGATCATCTTCAGCATGCGCAGCAGCATCTCTCCCGGGAAGGCGAAGTAGGCCGCGCCGGCCCGCGAGAGGCCGACCGGCCGCACGGCCATGCCGAGCGCCACGCCCGTGAGCACGGCGCCCACGGTGAGCAGCACCAGGGCATTGGCGCGCACGCAGCGCCACGCCAAGCGCAGCCGCCCGCTCGCCTCGGGACCCCCCGCGGGCTCCGCCGCCGTCGCCGCCGCCGCCGCGTTGCCGCCGCTCTCGGGGACGGAGCCGCTTCCCTGGGCCGTGTCCTCGACCTCGCAGACACCGTTACTCGCTGACTTCTCCATTGGCGCTGCTGCTGCTGCTGCTCTGAGCTGCTGCTGCTGCTCTGAGCTGCTGCTGCTGCTCTGAGCTGCTGCTGCTGCTCTGAGCTGCTGCTGCTGCTCTGAGCTGCTGCTGCTCTGAGCTGCTGCTGCTGCTCTGAGCTGCTGCTGCTGCTCTGAGCTGCTGCTGCTGCTGCTCTGAGCTGCTGCTGCTCTGAGCTGCTGCTGCTGCTCTGAGCTGCTGCTGCTGCTCTGAGCTGCTGCTGCTCTGAGCTGCTGCTGCTGCTGCTCTGAGCTGCTGCTGCTGCTGCTCTGAGCTGCTGCTGCTCTGAGCTGCTGCTGCTGCTGCTCTGAGCTGCTGCTGCTGCTGCTCTGAGCTGCTGCTGCTCTGAGCTGCTGCTGCTCTGAGCTGCTGCTGCTCTGAGCTGCTGCTGCTGCTGGGATCTGGCGGCCCGGGAGCAGCAGCAGCAGCAGCGATGCTGCCACGCCTCGCTGTGAGCCAATGGGAGGCGACAACGCGTTGCCAGGGTACCTGTAGCCATGGCGACCGCGGAGACGTTGATGCGCGCGAGCTCTGCCGCGGTGGCGCGCGTCAGATGCCCCCTCCCCTCCCCCATGGAGGGGTCAGAGTTCAGGAGGGCGCGTGTCAAGGTGGTTGCTGCCCTTTGTAAACACGACCCTCTCTATTTTCTTGGGTCTTTCGGTAAAGTCACGAAGATAGGTTCAAAGAAAAGAACAAAAATAACAATAAACTACGACGGTTTTTTTCTCTTGATGACGATTGCTTGTGTTTCGATCGAAACGTCCTAGTTTTTTGTTATTTTTGTTATTTTATATGAACCTATTTACGTGACTTTACCGAAAAACCCAAGAATATGCTCCTAAATCCCCAAAAAACTAAAATCATGCTCTTTTCCTCAAACAAAAATCCTGTTTCATTCTCGTCACCTGTTACGAAAATCAGAAACAACATGATTGAACAATCGGAGTGCTTCAAATACTTGGGTTTACTGATTGGTTTGAAACATATTGAAACTATATTATCATCACATTTCAAAGATAATCAATAAAAATAGAGTTTGTATACAGAATTTTTTTTCCCATTCGACTGCACCTGGAAATTGTTGAAGCTACCATTCTACAACTTTGACGATGTGACGCTGCTTGCAGATCAGCTACTAATAAAACACCAAATAGACTAAACCCGCTTTATTATTATGCTCATCGATTAACATTATACAGTATGTACCATACAGTAGAGGTCACCATTGTGACCTCTACTTGTTTTTTGTTATTTTTGTTATTTTCTATGAACCTATCTACGTGACTTTCCGAAAGACCCAAGAATATGAATTCCTGCAGTCACGAAAGCTTTAAGTCACGATCCTCTTTCTCGAATGTGCACCACTCCGCCCACCCGCCTACCGCCTGGCGCCACCGAGTAACCACATCACGATTTGGTTGTCTATTTTATTTTTAAATCGCATTGACAGAGACACATGGTGGGAAAAGAGTGGGACGTGTCCCATCGTGGGTTTTGTGCACGCACAATGCACTGGTTGCAGTTTCCATCACCCGCATACAACAACATCCAGTTTATAAATAGAGCCTCGAACGTGCAACCTGATCCACGTATCATGAGCATAATCGATTTTAACCAATGAAGGGATGCTCTCGTATCGATGAGATGCATCTGTCAAGTAGCCATTCTAAAGCTCGTTTGGTTTTACATTCTTATTTTCTTTACGTTCGTTGACCCAGGGAAGTCTCACTGAGGCTCAGTTCCCTCCCTTTCAGGAGGGTCCTGCCAAGTTGTTGCGATGTTGCAGCTGCTGCGTAATCCCAATTGACTGATTGCCAGCATTGAGATATTTGGCCCAATACCAGTTGCATTGTGTTGTTTTTCTCTTAGCTTTGGAAGGAAATTGGAAAATCCAGAAGAAACCCACGCAGCACAGGGGGTAACATACACACTCCACAAAAAGTGTCGCCCGAGTCGAGGATCGAACCCAGCCTCTTCTCGCTGTGAGGCACGAGTGTTCATCACTGCGCGCACGTAGTTTGGTCGTGTGGGAGGAGGGGGCCTCGTGGTGGCACTGTAATGGGTGGCTTTGTGTGGGGAGCGGTGCTGTAGCAGTTCGCGTGCGCCGCTACGAACCCGGCGATCCGAGTTCGATTCTCGCTCACGGCCAAAAGATCAGTGACGATTATCTGAACTGGTTATGGGCCTCCCCTAGGTCGACTCGGCCTCAAATGAGTGCCTGGTGCGGTGTGTGAACATTGCCACTGGGGAGACAAAGACGGTCGGGCGTGATGCTAGCCACCCACCCCCTCGTGTACCGTTCCAGCCATCATAGGTGCTCGCTAACAGCAGTTGGCGCAACAGTCGCTTGAGGCTATAGGGGGGATCTTTGTCTGTCTTGTGTACGTGAGTGAGGAGCTGCCTATCTTTTCTTGAGGTGATATCCTTGTAGTGGATATGCATAGTGAGGTGACTGATGCACCACACTCACGTCCTACACACACCACAAATCAGCTCCGGCGGATTCAGCAAGAGTGCGGTGTACGGAACAGCATGCGTTTTCAGTGTGCAGGGAGAGTGAACAAATTTAGAGTAGGGATGGCCACACAGAAGGCACTTGATTTAACCGAGGCTTGAGCTGATTAATTAGTTTATAAATAACAATGTTTATTGTACAAAAAGCCCGCTCCGTGTACAAATAATATTGACACGATAATAAATAAATGATTTCAACACAGTTTAACACGTAGGCTTTCGCGACCAATATTATTCATAATAAAGGTATTTTGGGTAAGATCGCGTAAATATAAATGTGCCATTAACCTACCACCACCCAACACAGCCAATTAGTAAGGTGTGTTACGTAAAAAAACTGTCAATTAGTTACTTCAGCACAACGGTGTGTTTGAGAGTAAACCCACAACATTTACAATTGGAGTACGACGTTTTGCTGGAGTGTACAACCAGCATCTTCAGGTGATTTGCAATAATTGTCAATAAGTCTTCCAGTTTTCAGCCTTAAATAGAGCAAGGTGATGTCATCACTGTGAGCCTATCAGGTGCGAAAATCAAATTGTAAATGTTGTGGGTTTACTCTCCAACACACCGGCGTGCTGAACTAGTGACTAATTGGCACGTTTTGTTTACGTGACGAAGTCCTCTCTGTAAGTCTTCATCGTATCTCACGGTTCTGAAATGCGACAATCCGCTGAGCACCTACACACGAGTCGACTCCATCGCTCCACCTCCTCGGTGGACGTCCTCTCAGATGCGTTCCATTTCCCGGCCGCCACTCCGTTACTATTGTCGACCGCCGGACCATCAGCTCTTGTAGCCGTCAACAATAGAAGACTCGCCCGTTTTGTCTCTTGACGAGTTTGTTTGACGCGTGGCGACCTGCGACGTTATACCCATGGCAGGCACCTCGTGGTGATGCGATCCTCTCTGACCCCCCCCCCTCCATCGCCACTGTCACGGTGCGCAGTGCACGGGGCTACAGGTTCAAAGAGGAGGAGATTGAGATGGCGAGTGTCCGTCGCATTAACAAGCTGCCGAGGCCCTCCACCGACAGGTGGAGAGGTGGGCGCCGTCACTCGCCGCCCGTCGCCTTTCCTCCAGCGGCGGTGGCGGCGGCCGGGCACCTAGCGAGGTGTCGGCTTTTGCCACGGCTCGGCAAGTGCATTTGCCCGGGTCGCCCGGGGTAGCCGCCACTGTATTCTGCTTGTCCTGTCGCCGTCTCTTTGCTGCTGACTTGCAGAACGTGCAGATGTGGCTGAAGCAATATCGACGGCGACTGGGGGTGGTGGTTGTAGCGACGCGTGCTTGCAAGCGAACGAGCGATCGCTGGGGCCCCTCTGGGGCCGTCCATGAATGACGTCACGCGATTTTGGACGATTTTTGACACCCCCCCCAATCGTCACACGACGTCACAAAAAGTCAGACCCACCCCTCAAATATGACGTCACAAAGCTCTGCCCCCCCCCCCCAAAATAAAACACTTCAAATCGCTTTAAACTATTTTCATTGTAGTGCGTATTTAATGTGCTGCTGCACTCTGATGTTGTAGGAGAAAACATTATTAAAAAGTCTATTTAATTAAGTAGAACGTGTTGTCTATATTTATTTAAAGTTTCGCATTTTGATGTGACGTCACACTTCTCAACCCCCCCCCCCCCCCCTCGTCACACATCGTCACAAATGTCTAATCTCCCCCCCCCAGGTGCGTGAGGTCATTTATGGACGGCCCCTCTGTGCACGCGATGCCTTTCTGCAGACCAAGGAGGACCTCCTGGACGACGTTCTCAGCGGGGAGATGGCGCGACGGCGTCTGCCAAGATCGCCTCCAGGACGACCTCAGGTGTGTACCGACGACGCCCTCCGTCATCGTCGCAACACAAACCTGGACGGGCGCGACGGCGTCGTGCGCCGGTGGTGTACGGTGCACGTGCCGGGGCAATGTCGGTGCGCCAGGCAACAGGGGTATCATGGTGCCGCTGTGTGTGTCGAGATGGTCATGAGGAATTCATCTTTCATCGTAATTACTGTTAAATGTAAAAACATAAGGAATCGGGAAAAATACTTACTTTTACATACCGATTCCCGGTGATCTGATTACAGCAGCGTGTACGGCTGTATTTACATGATTACAGCACGTGATGCGCTCATCTGATTACACTGACCATTACAGTAGCGTGTCCCTGGTCGGTGGTGGTGACACACGTAGCCTGTACTCCAGAACGTTGGAGGCAGCGAGGGGTGGTGGATCAGAGGGAAAATGTCATGAAAATCCCTTCCTGTGGGCATCGATGAGGAGCCGTACACTGGCTTGCCAGGAGAAGGGCAGGGTACAGCAAGATTAGACTTCACCTGTTCTATCTGTATGGGATGGAGCACTTCACCCTCCCATGCTTGGATTTTTTACGGATCCTCCATTTTTCTCCCACATGTAAGCACTAATTTATTGACCGATAACACCTTCATGTATAAAGGATCGCAGAGCTTGGGGTGGAATTTGGCGCCAGCTGACCGGATGGCTGCTGCCTTCCCGCTCATCTGTGGATCCTTGC